GCGGCGTTACGCTAATGACGTAGAGACGCAGGTGAAGAGTCAGTTGGGTCATCTTATGACTACCATCCCTCCCAAGCGCTATTCCTGCAGCTGTTTGGGCCTTGGACTCACAAGCCTCGTCGAAACCACGCCATAAACCGTCGGACTCTGATATATCTTCTCATGCAGCACGAACCACGCTCCGGTTACTCTATCTCTCTTCCCAGTCGGATCTACCTCTCGCCTATGTATCACGAACAGCTCTGGCGGTTGAGCGTGAGCGATCACGTATTCGAAGCCAGACTTGAACGCGTTCAGCTCTCTAAGAACAGCATAAAATTATCAGCGGGGGTGACTATATCATATAAGGAGCAGGAGATTGATGAAACCAACTTACATTTTCTCTTCTGCATGACCATATGTAGGGTTCTCTACTCTCCTTTGGGTTCTAAGGACGTTATTGTTTGACTTCGAGTCCCAGAAGGGTGAGTAGGCGAAATAGTCCATTCTGCACCAATAAATTATATTAGCTATCCTGTCAGAAAGCGCAGAACAGACACAGATGAGCTCACGCTAAGTCCCCGTTGGCCAGTGATCTCGCGGGATTGGCCTGTATGATTCGGAGGATTCTGTGGTCATCAGCGACATGCAAGGGCTGACGCAAGGTTCAGTGGGCTGACGTACCGCGATAGCTTCCGGCCATGACCTGGGAAGGACGGAATAGACCAAGGTCAGTAATCGCCTCGAGAGCTTGTTCTGACGACGTTGATGATATAGCTCACCAGTGGATATGAGACAAGTCCTGCTCCATTTCCTCGGGCTGAGCCATCTTGGTTGATGTTGAAGTGTACTGATCCTTGGATAAGCAAGCAAAAGAATATGATATCGAAATGGTCTTGATCAACTCTGTGCATGCTAGCTATAGCTGGAGCAACCGGCCAGCGGTGCGATTGTCAACATTGATTACAGTGACACAAGGCGAGGCGGCTATCGCCGCTTACATGAACATTCGAGGAAAGTGGAAAGAGGCGTAGGAATAGATAAGCTAAGTGGCAAGGATGGGGGCGGCATGAGGTTCCTGCATGTATACTGTGGTTGCGAGTGAGGAGGCGTTTCACTGTGTATACTCGCTATTTATTCTCTAAGGTCCAATGCCAGACGCAGGAACTTCGTTGTGCACAATATCTACTATCTACGGCTCCAGTTTCTACATCGGATTACTACTGTAGTGGTTGTCGTCAGCCATCCTGCTTTTTCTGATCGACTAGGCACAGTCAATGTCCAGATCTTCCTCGTCGTTTTCCTCCAAATCATCGGTGATATTGTCGTTGTCATTGACCACGCTCTGTTCTCGCTCACCGTCCCCTTCTCCATCGCTCTCGAGCACGCTACCTTCCCCAACCTCGCTCTCCGGCGAGGGCTCATGTCCTCCTGATAACCCTTGTTGTGTCGCCTCAACGAGCAGTCGATGACATTGCTCGAGCAAAAGCGCGGGATCGACTTCCGTCGCCAGCTTTGAGAGTGGGTCTCGGACCTCGTCTACGGGTATGAGGCACTTCAGTTGAGGGGTGTCATCGTACATTCCTTCGGGTTTCCAGGTGGCGAGATCCTTAATCCTTCTTAAGAGGTCCTGCGGGTCCGCATTCTGCACTTGGTCCACAGGAGGAAAAAGAGGTCCATCCAGAGCGGTCGGGAACTCGGAGACAAACCCGGGACTCGGCATCGTCCTCAGTCGCTGGAGGGTTTGGTGGAGCTCTTTCGTCTTTCTTGCAGGCTGTACGTCGTAAGGTGCCGGCAGCAACGGTAGCGCTTGAAAGTCGATATGGGGCTCGACCGCCTTCGAAGCTTCCTTCTCCCTCGCCTTCCTCAGCAATTCGCCTTGCTTCCACTCGGTGGCGACCCTCGACACCATATTCGCGATATTCTCGGGAAAAGAGTCAAGGTGGACATCGTTGAAGTGGCCGAAACGGTATTGAGAACGCCTGTACTGATCGTGAGCACAAAATCATCTATTGTGCTTTGACCATGTCAGCACTCACATCTTTTTGCCGCATGCAGTGCCGTCGGACGATGGTATCTTGCAGATGACTATGTTAATGGCAAACAAGTCAGCTCGGACGACGCTATCCCGGGAGTCAACTTGATAATTCCCTCACTCACCGTTCTCTCGTGTCTGACGATCTTCGTTATAGTCTTGCTCAGCCCAGTCCTTGCTCTAGAGAAACCTTAGGATCGTTGAACGATCGGACTGAAAGGCGATGCTCGTAGCCGGATAAGGCTCGCCCGCGGTCATTTTGCTGAAATGCCTCTTCTCCGAGTGAAACGGCTGCTAGTCTTCTGCCTTGAGCTCGTAGTGGATGCAGCTAAGCAGAGCGTACATGGCTGCCCGTCGTCATCGGGCTCGTTCATCAGACGTCTATATACATCACCTACGGGTCAGCGAGCTCTGCTGTCCTGCCGTCGAAAGTAAAGCAACTCACTGAAGATAGACTCGCGTGACTCGCCATAAGTCGAGCTTCGGCGACGTTGCTGACGCTTCGAGTTCACCTTCTTGTGCGCCAGCAATGTTGTCTTTTTGATCGTCCGCTGCATCCTCGCCCTGGAGAGCTTCGTCAAGATCCTCATCGATTGCGTCCTCCTCCACCGAGATATCCACTACCTCAGCTTCATCATCCGCGGTCGATCTCAATCTAACACGCTCCATCTCCTTTCGAGCGTCTTCGAGCAGCTTGAGATCGATATCACGAGTGAGCGTGGACTCTGCTTGGTCACTCCTCTGCCTTTCTTTCCGTTGTCGGAAATCAGGCTTCGATTGCCCTACTACTGCTCCTTTCAGCTTTCCGGCTCTCTCCTCTCGCCTTAGGTGATCTCGTCTTCTTCGGCTCAGCTTCCTATATGCCGCGAGTAAGCTTGCTGTCTCTGCCGAGCCGTAGGCTCCACTTTTGGCGGTCGTTGGAGAACTAAGTATATCGGATATGAGGTTTGCCATAGTCAGCGTGTCTCACCTATTAACCATAGCCACTTGAGCCAACGCCGAAAGTCAACTTACAGGAGCCTGGTCTTTCCAACCTACAGACGATTGCCTCATGCTATCGTTGAGTAGGTTCTCGCAGCGTCGGTAGACAGCATACTGGCTGTTTAACTCGACGAGTTCCTCCTCCGTGTGGAGCCTCGAAGCCGGAATCAGTCTGCAAGACACACTACGGAAGTCAGTCTCATCTGGTTTGCTGATCTCGTCATGCAGAATGCGACTTGCCGTCTCTCGAATAGCTTCTCAGGAGTTTCGGCCTTTTCGCCTATGTTAAGACCCTCATTCAAGGAGACTTCTTGATGGTCTTGTCGGTAGTGCTTATTGAGAATCCGTGGACCGCCCTCGTGTCCGGCGAGTTTCGCTGCGACATCACTTCCATGCCTCTTGGCCATTCGAGTAAGAAAATCGCGCCTAAAGGCGTATAATGTCACCGTCTCATCGTTGGGACCTGTCAGAGGAACGTTGATGTATAATTAGTCCCAGCTGATGCGGTCGGAAATACGTTGGCAGAACTTACCTCTCAGTCCTGTTTCTTCCAATACCCTCTTCATCACCCTTTGGAACCCATCCGACGAAAGTGGCGCCTGTTGGTCCAGACCGGTTCCCTTGGGTGTACCTCTCCAGAAAACGGGCTTGGTCAAATACTCCTCTTTGAATTCCCAGGTACCGCCCGAGAATTCGTCACCGAAGAAAGACTCGAAAGGTTTGTCCGAGTCTTTAAATACACCGTTGCGATACGCATGGGCAAAGAAGAGCAATCCTAAATCGAAGACTACGTTTGGCCGTTTTTGTATGGCAGGAATGCGATACTTGAGGATGAACCGACTCTTGTATCGGTATCCCTTCCAGTGTCGGAAAAGGATTCTGACAACGATACCCACAATGGTCCCATCATCGTCTCGGTCCGGGCCGATGGAGACGTCCTACAATACATAACAAGAACAGACCTTCAGCATTGGGAGATTCAGCTCGTGGAACTAAAAAAAAATTCTGATTTACCTGCCAGTCTAGGTGGGTGTCCGGGTAAGCACTGGTCGAAAGTGCCGTGCTCACTCGAATCCCAGCGAAGAGGAGAGTGAGATTCAAGAGCGAGTTTTGTACGTCCTGTTCGCGATATTATGGTCAGCGAATGTTATCCATGCCATAATCCTGATTTGCACTCACGGCGTCCGTCGAAAATGCTCCATCCTCGAGAAAGTATTCCAACAGGATACGGACTTCGCTCGGTCCCATGACTTCGGGCGGCATCGAATGTCGAGCGAGCTTGTGATCCTTGATGAGATCGCTGGTGGCCTGCGGCAGGTGTGTCATGGAGGATCAGCGCAATACCGCACAGCTTGATGACCCATTGCTCACCTTGGCAAGCTCGATTCGGCGCTCGTATAATTTTGACGGTGACAGAGGAGGTTTACTATATAGGAGCTGGTAAGGATAGGGACAGCAGTCAGTCAAGCTTGATTTGCCGAGAAAGCCAGGCGGCGATAAGGCCATGAACACTTACGAGACGCTGTGCTACACTCTTGTAATGGTGTAGCGTTGCTGGCGCGATCTTCGCCTCTCGTGGTTTCCCCTGAGCGTCAATCAGGGTTTGCTCGTTAATTCGCCCCTTAAGCATCTTTCGGGACTGAGCAATGCGATCATCGAGCCATAATCGCAGTTGCTCTGTATTGTATTGGAGTGAAGCTATGTCGTCAGCTATGATCATTTGAACCGATTCGAAAGTCTACTCACCGACCACGATTTCCGGGCCTCGCAAGGTTATCCATCAGATATGGCTTCGTATCTTTGACAAAGTTGAAGAATAGTTGAGAGGCTTGACAAAATCTCCTGAACGTCTCGGGCTCGATGGGGGGCACAGCATCGGATAGTTCAAGATGCTGTCGAGCTCGTTCGGAAGATGGCCAAATGAGGTCTGGGTTTGCAGCCAGTACTGCACTATATATACACGACAAATTCACAGAAATCAACAAATCTGTCCACAGAGGTTATAGACAACGTGGCACAGAGGCTACTGCGTTGCACTCGAATTCGTAATCAAGATGCAATTCCTTCGGGAGCGTGAGTTCGAGTCTCACCGTTGTCTGTCTTTTTGCTTCCATCTTTTTGCTTTTTGCCTTCAAAAATGTCCGCCACTCGTTCGTACGGTGATGCCTCTTGCCACACTGTCACGCTGCCACACTGCCACATGGCAGCCCAGGAAGCCAAGTGCCACTTTCACGTATGGTGGTGATTCAAAAGTCAGTCGACCATTGGCATTCAGGGGAATGCCTTATACATGAGTGTGGTGAAAGTAGAAGCGAGTCGTATCGTGTCGTGCATGGAGAATGCGGTAGGTACCAGTACACATGCTTATCACTCTATCCCTTGATCAGATCATACGAGTGTAGAGGCAATGACTGATACCTAGCTTGACTAGACAAATTCAGCTATTCCTTCTGGTACGGGTGCGGCGCGAGTAGTAAATAAAAGTGCCACAATCAAAAACTAAGAAACTTCAAATGACGCACAGGGTGGAATACGATCCAAGATAATTGAATGTCGGCTTGAGGTGAGGATGGCACCGAAGCTCTTTGTTTTTCAGGTTCAAAGAACTTTACCAGCGCTTGAGGCGCATGCATAACATCTTATGAATCAGGTATGTACTGTACAAGCATGCATGAGTGAAGACGAACTTTGTAGCTCTCGTATGGAATTTGCAAATTTTCACCTGCATCCAAATATGCCGGATTGAGCTGTTTGTACTACTGTATATGTATGTACATGACCGGTATCGTGAAGAGGGGGGATAAGCATACCAAGCCCTACGGAGGCGAGAACCATGACCACGATCGAAGATCAGTGGCGTAAACTATCGAGACTGACGTGAGGCTCAAGCTGTCGTAGTTTCGTGCTTCTTGACTGCCGCTTGGAAGAACTGTCGTACGAGCCTGGTGTATGACAACAGTCCGTCAGCAAACTCTCGTCAGCTTCCGAGAGAGGCAGAGAAGAAATACTCACAGGTTCAGCAGAAGGTCATTATCAATAACAAAGTATAAGATCGATAATCACGTCAGCGGCTCATCCTCACCGATGAGGTTAGGTGGAGGGGCTGCTCTGAGGCACTGACCTTTCGAAGCTCATCTCGAGCCATGATGCCTTCGGAGACTCTCAAAGGAGGGTCTGCGAATAAGAACTGAACAGTATGCACCGAGGTCAGACAGATGGTTGATACAACTCATAGTAGTCAGCTTGGATTGCACGACTCACGAGGGTCTCAGCTGCTTCAAGGTAGTCGTCGAGCTCTCCAACTTCGCCAGCATCTTGAGTACTACCGGCTTGCGCTTCACCTTGACCATTGGTAATATTGAGGTATCGTTGAGAGATGACATGATCGAGCCAGAGGTGGACTTGAGCTGTACAGTAGTACGAGTATGCGATGAACATCGATCACGTCAGCTAGAGATTCTTTGTACCAGTACGGAATATCAGAGGCTGACTGTAGTGTGACTTACGGCAAAGGAGTTCAAACTTGTGTAGCTGATCTACCAAAGAAGGTTAACTGGCTACGAAGAAGTCCCGAAACTCTTTAGACTTGGCGTGGAAGTCTCTAAGAGTGATTTTCTTCAACCTTGGAATCTTCACAAGGTGTTCTTTGAAGGCTTTGGCCCCTTGCAAGTCGGTACCGATGATAGCGCCAATTTCGGCCAAGGTGAGCTGTCGACCAAGCCGGACCTCATGCCTGGTAATGTCCTTGACGAGCTTGTCGATATGGTCGGGGTCGCCAGACATATTGATGATTTGCGGTGTAACGTAGTGATCCGTTAGGTCGATAGAGCAGTATCTGTACGAGTATCAGGGCACGCAAGCTGTGGATCAGAGGGAAGTGAGAAAATGCACGGTGTAGTACTTATGGTGAACAGGTAAGGGTGATGGTGTACGGTGTAATGAGAAAAAGCAAGAGAAAAGAGAGAGTCGTGCGGGGGGAAAAAGTTGCATCATGTGTATATATATATCAAATGGTCGTGATTGGAAGAGAGCGACTGCAAGTACTCGTACTGGCTCACCCCTCCGAGGTGTTCCGAGATTTGATCCGTTGTGTCTGTTTTTTGGTGACTGCGACGGAATGGAATCAGCAAAACTCAAAAGGCTGTTTACACCTGGACTACCATCAACGCAACGCCAACGCCACGCATCGTCATCACCATCAGCATGGTCGTCATTGTCACCATCAGCACCATCAGCACTATTAGCACTATCAGGGTTGGATCGAGTTTATATTGCTAGCGTGTGTCTCATCTAGGTCTTTGACTGAGCTAAGTGAAACTATTCTATACTATGCTTCCGCCCCCTGCACCTGGCCTCCTTTGTCGTTGTTGCCAAGATGGTTTCGCTCTCTCGCCTGCTTCAGCGTTGATCTCCTCCAATATGCGCCATTTACTGACGATGCGTGCGTAAGATCAATCCAATTCCATCAGCTTTCATTTTGATCATTACAGTATACACCGGAGCCTCATCGCAAGTACGCAGTCTGCGCTTATTACCACTCACCGATCAATCGTATCCTCATCCCAAGTCTGAAGCATCCCATAATGTCTTTTATAGCTCCAAACGGAACTTCCGACGCCCACTACTACAGCTCCTAAAGCGCCTCCGCCCATGATACCGAGTATGCTGGGGATGGTACCTATGCGCCGCCATTTACGGGAGAGGTAGAATGTTGATATGGCCGCGGAGGCGTATCCTGCGATCTGGGTTCGGAGCGTTGACGAGCGTTAGCGAGTCAGCGTGGGGAGCGAGCGAGCGAGCGAGCGAGTGGAACAGTAATGCACGTTGATGGCAGGAGAGAGGGATATAGACATGGTATTAGGTATTCGTATGCATGGGATTGAGGGTGATCGAGGAGTTCGGTTGCTTAAGAGCAGACAGCGCGTGATGTAGACAATACAGGCTAGGTTGTATTTGCGCGATTAAGGAGCGATAGGAGAATTGTTCCAGTCCCTCGACTTTGCGACAACCGCGACATACGTGAAACGAAACAGGTCACTGATCAAATAACTCGATGATTGTACTCACCTTGCCATGCTGTATGCCCCTATCACCCGTCTCCAACAAGACCTCGAGTTCTTCTCTGCTGATCTCGCCAGAGTCGATACGGCGTTCGGCAATTTCATTGAACACTCGTTGGGCTTTGTCGGGATCTACCCTTCGGGATGTGGACCATGGTATGAGCGGTCGCGTTGATGTTTCTGCGTTTGGATTCGATGTCAACGGCGGGGTTGAGGAAGAGGCCGCGCTGGTCTCAGGAAGGGCTACGAGTTCGTGCTTGGTCTTGGTCTCGGGCTCAGGCTGGAAGGATTGGTACGCTTCGTATATCGTTTGAGTTTCCGAAGGCGTCATGATGTACCGTGTCGTTTCGTTGGGAGTGATTTTCCGATGCGGTCGGATGGATGCGTCAGATCACGAATATCTCGTTTGTCGGATGGTAATAGCGAATAGTTGCAAGCTCGAAGGGTGAGGGCCTAAGCTAAGCGGCATTCGGGCTGGGAGGAGTGATTTGGTAGCTGGTAGCTGGTAGCTGGTAGCTGATCGTTAGTGACGAATAGTGAAATCGAAGGCCCGGTCAGTCCATATGTATTGCTAGAAAGGCTCGTATCGTATCGCAGAAAACAAAAAAAAAACCGGACATTGCGTTCTTCTTATATGTATATTTATGAACGATTTTGGACATCAGACACTCCAAGCGATACGATACGATACGATACGGTACGTGAGATAGGAAAAATGTAGTATGATATGTACTCGTATGATATCATGCTGGCGTAGCCTATTTATCAGTCGCGCCGAAAATTGAGGAACGACGCGACATCGCTCGGCAAAGGTTACTCGGACCTGAATGTAACCTCTACAGTGAGTATTCATAACTCCGCTCCGCATTAGCTAGCTAGCTGATCAGGTTTGAAAAGGCAACATGATATGATCACCGGCCAACATCAGATCTGTGTGATCAGTTCCGCGGCCGTCCTGCAGAAGAGCGTACTGTACGACGCGACTGTACGATCCTTGCCAGTGGCCAGTGATTATAATGAGAATGATCTGTTGATGCGTATTAGTTGATGTGGTAACCTAAGCTACTGCAGAATCTCATGTAGCAAGAGTGTGGAACAGAGGGTGTCATTCCGGTCTGTCGAAGGGGCAAGAGTGATGAATCAGGTGGGGGGTCGATCGACTGATGATGTTGGTACAAATGAAGACCATGAGCATAATGTGTTGATCTTTTTGCTTTGTGTGTCATAAACTCAATGGAGATTTTAGTGCGTTATACCAATGCCAGGAGAAGGGGTTGGATGCTTGACCCGTTCAGTGGGGAAGGAAGCATCGAGGCGAGGCAAGGCGAGGCGCGGGGCCGCAGTAGCTAGCGAGTACAGTATGTATAGTATCTATGTATAGTATCTATGTATAGTATCTATGTATAGTATTTGTTTGCCATGATGGATCAAATCAAACGGGACGACATTTTGCGCCTCTCAATTTGGATACGAACGATGTCTTCTCTTCCCACGAGCAGAGATTGATATAATCCAATCTGAAGTTCCTACCACCTGAGACAGGGACAGATACAATGATCGGGACCGGTGGTAACAAATGTTACAGCAGAACCTTCCGCTCGGACAGCTTAGCTTGAGCACGGCTGAACATGTATCTCTTCGTGTATTGGTCATCCAGACATCCAGAAACAAAGATTATGATCGCTCGCATGCGCGAAGGCGAACACCAAAAAAAACAAAACAGGCTGACCCATGACACAACGCACCACGCATCGGAGCAATGAGATACATCGTGCATGGCTATATCAATTGCACAACGCACGCGGCGACATACCCCTTTGCCTTGCCTAGATCAAACCCCCCAAGCCGAAATCAGAATCCAGATACAATAAACCTTCTAGTTCTTGATCTTCTTCTTGGGTCGGATCTGAGAAGAGTGACCACACTTCCTCTTTCGCTAAAACGTGTGGAAAGCAAAATAAAACAAGGGATTGAAGTCAGCGTTAAATCATAGATGAAAAGAAAGATTTGCGCATGAGATGAGATCTTGCTGGGGGTG